GTTCGCTTCATATTACCGCAGGTTCAATCCAAACTTTTCCACGATCGCCAGGCCATTGCACCTCCTTACGGCGAAGGGCCGGAGGTTCAGCTGGGGACCGATGGAGGAGGCGGCGTTTCAGGGCCTACGCAATCGGTTGGCGTCGGCACCGACGTTGGACTATCCAGATTTTACTCGGCCCTTTATTCTGGATACTGACGCGAGTGACACCGGGATTGGGGCCATTCTGTCCCAGTCCAAGAGCGGCGTCGAACGCGTGGTAGCGTACGGTAGCCGCGTGTTGTCTCCGGCGGAGACTGCTTTACTCGCCATGAACTATTGGCTATTGTGCATTTTCTTCGCCAATATCGGCCGTATCTATACGGCCGTACGTTTATTGTGCGCACGGACCATGCGGCTTAGCAATATTCCATGAGGGTTGACCAGCCGTCTGGCCAATTGGCACGATGGTTAGAAACCCTGCCGGAATTTTCGTTTGAGATTCAGTATCGTAAAGGTTCGCGTCACGCGAACGTGGACGCACTCTGCCGCAGGGGTCCCCTTGTGCTTGCGCTTCGGGCACGAATAGGTGTATGTGGGTTCCGCTACCCCCTCGGCCTGTTAGGTCCGCTGTGGAGGTGCCTGAGGCACCCGCGGGCCCGGAACAGGCTGATGGGGTGTTGAATTTACCACGTTCGGTATGGGTTCGCGAGCAATTGCTCGATGAGTCGCTGGGGGCCTTGCGGGGTCGGGCTGCGAAGGAGAAAGGTGGACCGCTGTCCGATGGGACGCCGGGAGCTGCTCTCCAGGATGGTTTGTTGATGTGGAGGGAAGGGTTGCACGATCGCTGACGTCTTGTTGTGCCGTCGTCGTTGCTATATGAGTTGATTCGGACTCTGCACTCTGAGAAGTTGTTACATCTCGGGGTGCCGAAAACCTTGTTGACGTTGCAGCGGGATTATTTCTGGCATGGCATGATGACTGATGTCGTCGGGCACATTCAGGCGTGCTTCGACTGTGCCCGGCGGAAGCCACCTAAACACCCATATGTTCCCCCAGTGCAGTCCATACAGGTGTCTCGGATTAACGAGTTGGTGGCGTTGGATATTTTGGGGCCCTTTCCGCCGTCCGCTCGGGGGAATACATTTTTGTTGGTCGGGGTGGAATATCTTTCCTGCTGGCCGATGGCCTGGCCCTTACCCGACCAGTCGGCGGCATCTATCACGGAGGCGTTCCTGTTCGGATACGTAATGGACAAAGGGGCACCGGAAAGGTTGCTCACGGACCAAGGGCGGAATTTTTCTTCCAAACTATTGGGCGAGGTGTGTGCTGCACTGGGGACCAAGAAGGTTCGAACGTCTCCCTATCACCCGCAAACGGATGGGATGGTTGAACGGTTGAATCGGACCCTGTCGATCATGCTCTGTCATACGGTTAGCGAAAAGCAGGCTGATTGGGATTTGCATATCCCTGGGGTGCTGTCCGCTTACCGGATGACGCCACATGCGTCGACGGGGTACTCACCTTTCTTTTTGATGTACGGCCGCGAGAATATGCCGCCGGTGGAAGTGCAGCTGCGCACGGGGGCGAAGGATCCTGTTATATTGGGGACGCCGTTCGTCGCGTGGCACAGGCGCAGGAGGGGGCCCGATTGGCTACCGCTTAGACCCAGGCCCGGAACGAACGTTGCGCACGGCGCTCGAATTGTGAGTCCCCCTGGCGAGTGGGGGACATGGCCTGGCTGCAATGCCCACAGGTACCGGTGGGGACCTCCCCTAAGTTGCACAAACTGTGGCAGGGGCCGGTTGTGCTTATTGAGGTCCCTAGTCCGCAGTCCGCACGTGTTCGGTTCGGATCGTGGCGCTGGTACATTCATACGTCTCGATTGAAACCCTACGTGGCCCCGTGGATGGATGCGTAATCTCCTAATGTTGCCTTGCCGGTGTCTGTTGCGACCGACGCGCTACTGACTTTGCCTGTTCAACCTGCAAGCGCGCCTGTCATACCTTCTGTAGACGGACCGGCTGTGATCCAGCCGGACACAGTGATTTCTGCTCCGGGTGGGCCTATCACGGTGACGGGGACGCTTGGCCCCGCTGCCCTCCAACCCCGCCACGGAGGCAGTTGCGGGAGGCTCCGACGACAGGCCTCTCTGGGGAACGGGACGCTGGAATTGCCAGGCCTCCAACAGCGACGGGCGGTTCCGATCCCACCGCTCCTAGAACCCTGTCACGGTCACAGTCTGTGCGGGGGCCGCCCCCTGTACGGGACGGGCCGGCGAGCCGCACTCATTCTAAGTCCCTTCCCTTTCGTTAATTGTTGTTGTTATAATCTCCGTTTGTCTTGTGATACATGATTGTCATGTTGTTGCTCGCATTATTATTGTTCTATTGCAGCCGGGGACGGCTGGGTTTTTCATCAGGGGGGGGGGGGGGTCATGTAATGCGAGCAAGAACAGGGTGGGTGCTGGCCTCTGCGCCACTCACGCGGGCCGGAGTATTGGGGGGGCGGAGCCTGGTACACGGAGCATGTGGGAGGAGCCACCGCTCACCTCGGCTCCAATGGGAGTCGGGGTGAGCGGGGGCGGAGACGGGGGCAGTACAGGAAGGAGGGATCAGGGTCACGTGATAGGGAGGATATAGGGAGAGAGCCGGAAGAGATCTGGGAGTTGGAAGAGAGTGGAAATAGGGGAAAGCCACGCTGGGCGGTGGCGGAGGAGTGGCGCCATTTGCCACGTGGTCGGAGTCCACGGCACCGTCGGCCAGCGGTGTACGTGGGGTAGCCGTAGCTAGCGGAGTGTAAGGAGCTAGCGGAGTGTAAGGAGCTAGCGGAGTGTGAGGAGTTAGTGGAGTGCGCGGGGGCACACGGAGCAGCGGTGTGGCTGCGGGGTGTGCAGGGCACACGAAGCGTGCGCGGGGTGCACGGCAGAAGAGGCGCGGGTCCGACCGTGGACGCCGCGGGGTGCGAGACAAGAACCCAATAAAGGACAAACGGAGACCTACACCGCCTGCAGAATCCTTTATTACACATATATTTGTAGTGTTTAGCAATGTGTAGTGTAGTGTATAGCAGTGTATAGTGTAGAGTATAGTGTTGTGTATATAGGCGCATGGTAATGTAGTGTATAGTAGTGGAGTGCATAGTAGTGCTGGAGCCCATCGCCAGGGAAAGGAAGGTCTGGACTGCCCTACTCAACATGCCGCCGCGAACCTCACCAGAACAAGTGGATTGAGAAATGAATGAACGAATGCAAATTGATGCTGCTTACGCCTCCAATGAGTCGTTAATACTCGGTAAGGGATAAGTATAATCCCAAGTCACCTGATTTAAGTGGCTAAGAACTACGCAAAACCTCAGTGAACCATCGGGCTTCTTTACAACAACCACCATTGGGCCTTAGTGGCTCGTGGAGGGAGAGGTAAAATCTACTCTCTGCATTTTTTTGCTCCTTGAATAATTGTTCTAATAAATACACAATCCTTGATTTAGACTTACAAGTAATGCGGATTCTTAAACCTGACCGTGTGGATTATTTAAAAAGCAAGGCAATTGAACTCGAAGAACAATGCAAGTAGAATACAACTCTTGGTGCGACCTTTTTAGCAAAACAGAACCCAACGTCTCTCACATTCATTGCCGTATGGTCACTATCTTGATCGTCTCATTTTTTTCAATTTTCCCTTGGTGTGTTTTGTATTTCGTGTTTGTCTTGTTCACCACTTTGAAAATCTGCTTTCATTAAAGCACAAAATAATTGAATCCTTAATTCTTATAAATGTATTGATTAAACCGAGAGTTATGACCCCAATAAAACATTTTATTGTGACTTTGAAAACATTATCTTAAACTGATATGTTTTCTATCTAGTTGCACAGCCACTATATCATGCTAATGCTCTAGAACATACAAACAAGTATTAATAAAAATAACGGTGACCCCTTCAGCATTATTAACATTACCCAATCCAGATTAGCTTAACCAAAAAAAATGCGACATCCAAACAATCCTTAGTTCATTGGTTGTTGGAATACCAACCATATTATTTAAATCACATTCTTATTCCCCAAAAATATAAGATACACAGATAACAAATATCATATGGTAGATAGCAAAGCACTATGCCAACATTCCACTTCACAAATATGACTTAAAGATGCGCTATATATTCCTGTATTGTATTCAGATTGTATCATCTTTATGTATATATAAAGTTGCATGCGATCGAAAATAACAACTCAAATTCCAGAACGACTCCCAATTGCTCATGCACCTTTTCTACAATGACCAAATTGGCAACGGATGTAAATAACTTAAAGTTGTTAATGTAAAATATGAAGCTTCGTGTAAAATAATTATATCAAATGTCAATCATTTGTGTTGTTTTTGGTAGCGGTTGGCAGTTGTAGAACTTGATCTTTCCTCTCGTCCACCCTTCTGAAGCATTCGTCAGCAATGATGCCACTTTTATTCGTTGCTCTTATGAATCCATCCATGTCGTTTTCTTCATCGCCTTCCATATCCCTTCAAAGTGAGATCTTCCTGCCGCCTGGATTCCAAACAATGCCCAGATGATGATGGGTTGTTCTACTTATTGATCTCAGCCTATTCGTTGGTATTTATAGGACCTCTGCATTAGTCGTTTTGTTGATCCGGCTTCCACTCAGCATTTACATTTTAAAGTTGTTTGCTTTTGTCCATTGATTTTTATGATATGTTACACTTAATATGCAGTTTTTTCCTTTGTAAAACCATCTTCATGCTATGCGAATTGTGGTGTTAAAAATAATGTAGACCTTGCAATAACATACAATGGATATGGAGGAAAGAAAGATGAGTAGGCAGCGTGGACAATATTTGCTAATACGCTTATCTGGATATCACCTAAGTCCTCCCCTCAAGTGATACAGCATATTGACTTCGATGCATCCAACGAAGAAATTGTATTGATTGTATGCAAAACTGTTATTATTTCTTCACATTTACCAAACTGTGCGATTATATGTCCACGTATGAAAATGCTGTTATCGTCATTATCATCAGTTACTGAACGTTTAGCTTAAAAAAGCAATAGCACTGCCATAAATACACATTTTTATATAAAACAGATTATTTGTGATAACGTCACTTTTTCATAGCACAAACAGAGGTCAGAGATATAGAGTGCATAAGGGTTGAAGACTAAGAATGTTAATTTTGTTTATTTAACTTGTGGTGTTTTAGGTGTGCCAGTAATATCAACCGATTCCACCTTCATCAGTCTCTTGTGATCTACATGTATGCATTTGATATTTACGTCTTAGGCACGTTGTTGATAATTGGCCAACCTCTCTTAACTTCGACTGTGCCCTAGAAAATGTGGTTAATAAGTTCCTCTGATCTTAGACAAATATTTCACAGCATGCTGCCAACCTTACTGTCAATTGTCTACTTTGTATCATAACATCATTAATCGAATAAAAGTTTTAAAATCAATAGGGTCACAATACACATTTCTCCAATATCTGAACCTCAACATGAACATTCAACAAATGTTTTTGCACATCCCATCAGCGACACGACATTTTGGAAGCACATCATTTCAGCAATATTGATATTGTAGGGAGTCATCTTGGCTGCCTGTTTGTGTTACTCAGTTTAACACGTATGCCTTTGCGACCAATATCTTCCATAATAGAGTTGTTTTGGGTTCGATCGCGTAAATTTGTGTTACTCTTTGCAAAGAAGTTGCTAAATATTTCTTATGTTGCTGATTTACTTGACTGGTTCTATTTGATGAGTTTCCTAACAGTATCAAGAGCTTTCTTCTATTTCTTTCGAGAAAAAAATAATTGAATGAATTGCACAGATTTTTACCTTATTTTGTATTTGTTTACATTGCCAGTTTTGACAGGGCTGTTTAGTGTGTGCTTTATCATTCTTTCGTCTTCTCCAACAGGTCTCTTGGATTTCAAATTCCATGACTAATCACTTCGGCACTTGCCCCCCTTAGTCACGCAGGCCTGTTTTAACTCCCGAGCCTTGTTAATAACATATTTTGGCCCTTTATTGAAATATTACATGGCATCATCCGTAACTTAATGTAGCGCTAACATTAGTCATGCTGCAAACCTTATTCAAATCATTGCTTAATTTTCTGCCTTCATCTGTCGGCTCTGGAGCTTGTCCAAGTCATATTTCGCCTTCGTGCTCTTTTCCCTGAAATTCTTTCTCAGTTTGATTTTGACCATCATCATTATTAAGCAACCGTCACTTCCAATGTCTGCCCAGATAAATATCCACTCTTCTTAGTTGACTGAAAATGGTTTGACATTCGTGTATCGTCAGTACAGTAGTGAAATGCACCACAACATGAGTGCTACGTTGATCTTCTTGATGGTTTGTGGGGGTGAATGGTGTTGATCAGTACAATGTTGTTTAATTTAGTAAATTCTATGAGCCTTGTAAACCCAGCTAATTTGCGTGTCCCATGTGGTGCCATTCCAGTCATTGGAAGCATTTGTTCACATTATGGATTTACAGTACCCCGAGGCTTGCTGCAATTGTGTTGTATTTACTCAGATATGTGTTATTGGTGGGTCTGAACGTATAATTGGAAAGAAAACTAATTAATTGTGCGTTATGGTGATATTATTTTAATGGCAAAATGGCATTCAGCAGAGGAAATAAGCAGAAAAGATGAAGTTACCGGTAAAGATGTTTCAACATTTTCTTAAATGTTATATTTGGCAGATATCCATGCTGAGAACGGAATACTTGATAATATTGGAACTTTCAGCTTTGCATTTGACTTCCAATGGCCATATGCTATCCCATGGAAATATATTATTATGCTCATACTGAAGCAATTTTGGATGAACATAAAAGTCTGAAAGGAACAATCGTGAGAGGCAAAATACCAGTCTTGGGCATTCATTAGAGGGGATGGGCAGCTGATTAAAGCTCTAGAAGAGAGTACCCATGGGAGAAGGCTCTGCCTCATGAAATAGGGGTCAGACACCAACATGAAGAAGAATATCGCAAGGCTGGTGAGTATTTGTGGGAACTTGAAGCACAAACTTACCATTAAAACATGCAATATTGATTTTAGATTTCAATAAAAAATGGTAAAGTAGAAACACAATTTAATATTAAGCACGTATTTAGCTGAAGTGTATCACAAACAAAATGCACGTTTAAACAAAACAAGAGTATAGAGGAATAAACACATTGGAAATGATTGTAGATATTTCTTTATGGATTACTTGAAAACATGCATATATTAATTTTGCGCGAAAAATTTCACGTAATTGGGAGATAACACTATAATAATTTTTTTGTTCCTGGGCAGTAAATGGTATTTCCTAATTGTTTATGCCTCAAAGTACAGAACATGGCTATTATTCTCCAAAAACTTAGCTTTTTTGACCAGGACATTGATATTTTGAAATTTACCTATTTTCCAGAACATTCCAGATAGATACAGTACTGAGTAAACTTGGAGTAACTTCTAGAAAATTCTAGAACTTTCCATTAATATAAATAGTATAAATACAGGGGCTGTAAGCCTATCAGTTCAGTTTAGTTCCAGCTGCCTAAGTGGATACATATCTGCATTTTTCTGAGATGCATCAAGAGGCTGCAAGCGTCCAACAGACGGATTTTTGTTATGTCTGCGGACAATTTATAAAGACAAGAGCGAAAATGTGCTCTGTGGAAGCATCTACAAAGATGTGTGAGGTCTACAAGGCATATTTTGGCATGCCTGTCGGGGATCAAGACAAACCCAGCACACCTCATTGCACCTGCGAGCAATGCAAAAAAACTCTGCAGAGTAAGATGGATAATTGTTGCTCAAGATTTTATGTTATGAAATTTGTTTAAAAAAATAAAACGAGTGCAATGAATTCCCCAAGAAGTAAGGAGCAAGCGGCTTGGAACAGCTTTGCCGCAGTGATTCGTGGATACCTGAGCAATCACAAGGTCGAAAACTATGTGGAGCTGGTTGAAACTCTGGTGAAGAACCACAACACAATGGGCTGTAGGATGTCCCTCAAAATCCATATCCTTGATGCTCATCTTGATAAATTGAAGGAGAACATGGGAGCATACTCAGGGGAGAAGGCAAGCGCTTTCACAAGGATATTTTGTACATTGAACGCTCCTACCAAAGACAGTATAACAAGAACATGATGGGGGAGACATGATGGGAACCATTTGGGGGCTGATTCTTGAAAGTGATTTACAGTATAATCTCGAAAACTACTCACTTCCAAATCTTTGTAGTCATTTTTTATTACTTTAGTATACATACATGTAAATTTTGATTCATAAGTTGTTTCTTTCTGACTTTATGTGAACGAAAAGGCAAATTTTCCCGTTTTCTCATTGAAAATAAGTAAATTTCAAAATATCAATGTCAATATTGTGGGGAATAATAGCCATTTTCTGTACTTTTGAGCCATAAACAATTAGAAAATAACACTTACTACACAGGAACAAAAACTGCGTTACATAGTGTGATCAGATTATTATAACACCCACAATGCCTCAAGTTAAGTGTATGTACATATGCATGCATGTAACGATCGTTAAATGTCATGCCATTTTAGAGATATTGCTGTTTGATGATGAATTGTGTTCGTTGTTATTAAAAATATTTAAAATGAAAGACTGTAGAGTTTGAAACAAAGCCACATATTCATAAGTTAATCTGTGACATAGGGTGCTCAATTGTAGTTTCATTAATCAACCTACAGATTCTCTAAATCCTTAATAATATCATCTTCTTTAATAGAGTCCCAATCTGATGGGACTTTTCCCAGGGCTGAAAATTTTAGGTTATAGCGCTTTTCTAAGTCTGACTTGAACTTGCAGACAAACCATTTCCAATATGGCTGTGTGGTTAAGTCTGGTGTTATGCTCCAACAAACATATTCTGGCCCGGCTGTACGATAATCCTTATATGGTATTTCTCTGTCTGGAAGCACTAAGCTGCAGTTACTTGCAACTAAACTAGTGCAGATGTCAGTGACAAAGTTATCAGTTTCATGCCAATGTGTTCCACTCACTGCCTGTGGGCGGTGAATGGAAACACTGTGGTCTCCGTCATGATTGGACATCGTGTTTGTGCAGATGGCTTTACAGAATGGGCACTGCACCCAGCACCCACATAGCTGCCGAAATAGTATTTCGTGAGGTTTGTTCTGAACGTCTTCTAAATCATTTAAGCATGCATAAGAAAATTGTTCGTTTAATCTTAGAGCCACGGTTTTCAGTCCGTCTGTTAATTGTTCTTTAAGAAATTCAATATCCGTTATTTCGCTGCAGTCGCTTTGGTCCAAAGTGTGTCTTGGGAGCTTGATGACGTCATCAAGCTGTGTGCAAAATGTATCCAGCCATGAAGATGCATCATACTCGTTGTCTTGTACAATTTCAGTTGCTTTGTTAATTGCACGAGTAATTGCAGCTGTGGAATCTCCAAGACTTGACTTTAACATCTCGTGAATTATTTCATTATCATTTTCATTGCAATACTCTTCGACACATTCTGTAATGTATTTCTGAAAGTGTTCTTTTGGATGGTGAATATATTTATCAAATGCTTTAAAATCTTTCATCTTCGCTAAATCTATGAGAATGTAGTTTTCTAATTTTGATCGATTTCCGTTGAATGCCGGAAATGTGGACTTCATCCTGCCTGCAATGTCAATGCAAACTTTATCATAAACTGCCTGTTGAATGGATGTTTTCAGTTTGTTACACAAAAAATCCACAAAAATTGTTGTGGACGTTGAGCCTTGGCAGCGGATTTTGAAGCTGTTGAAGTATTCGTCTTTCTTCCTGCTGAAGTATACTAATGGGTCGTTTTCCCTCTGGAAATTCTCATGCATTTCCTGAAATCGCCCCGTAACCTCTGCCAATATGTGGACAGATAAATCAATTTTGAACTTATCTTTGAGCTTAAATCTTTGATTGGATTTTGAAAATCTCTCTACGTCTGTATTAATTACCTTTAGAATTTCATATATGTAGGATGGTTTGTAATTCGTTTTATGTTTCTCCTGGGTCAAAATGCAGCTTTTGACATTGAATTTTATGTCAGAAATCAATTTTTTTAGTGACTCAGTATCCTCATCTTTGAAACGGTGACTCCAAGTTCCAAGCCATTTCACGTTCATCATAATGTGTTCATTTTGATTAACGTCAAATTCTGTCCCTTTATGGTTTTTCAATATCACTGTATTTAAGTGTTGACTTTGACTCCCATACACGTCGTAAAGAAGGTTTACAATTAGTTTTTCTACATCAAGTGTTGCAGGGCTGGTCATACCGTATTTAATCTCTTTAATCCAATCCTTCCAGATTTTATCAAAAGCCCTGTCCCATTGTGCTTCATTTACATTTGTGTCTCTCAATTTTGAAGCCAAATCCTTGCTCTTTCTAATAAGATGATCTTCATAACTTGATCTCTGTAGATCGATACTTCGTTTTTTGTCTTTTTGAGCCATCAGGGCAGAGTAGTTTTTGAAGGCATCAGACACTAGCTCTTCTTTCACTGTTTCAAATCCTTTTTCGAATTTAACTTTCCATTGAACCAACAGTTCTGCATCATCTGCGCTATTGAAATGTTCTTCCATTTTATTCTTAATATCCTGATAGTTTGACGCAATTTTTCGTTCAATCTGTGATCGTGTCATTGCATCTGTATTGTTATCAATGCTGTTATAAAGTTTGTTTTCCTGCTGAAGAACATAACTCCTGAGTTCCCAAGTCCATTTTCCATACATTTCTTCCAATTTGGTATAAGCTGCGATTTCGATTGTGTTCTTAAAGCTAAAAACGAAGTTTTCTGCTAGCAAAGCCGTCCATAGATCCTTAATGCGTGCTTTGAATTCTGATATCTTCAAGACATTGACTGTTTTTTCTTTTTTCGCATTTCTAAGTAACATTTCTTTAAGGTCTTTAATATTTTGGCAGTAGCTTGGATTTGGCGGAGCCATCGGAGGGTCTCCCTCCCAAAGATGAGCAAAGTAACGGATCTGAGAGTTAACGTCAAACCTGATCACAGCGTCAAATGATGCAACAGTGCACTGCTCCTGGTCTGCAGCCATGCGGGTCATCTCATCGAGTTTCTCCTGAAAGCGTCTCCTTCCCTCCATGTTCTTATCGTGAGAAGTCACATCTCCTACGTTTTGATGGACAAACACACAGCTCGGTGATAGTTTCACCTGCCTCATTCTCAAAAACGCCTGCACAGCAATTTGTAGAATGTCTTGCATTTCAGAAGGGTTCTCTCCAAAAATGTTGATCACGGTCATGTTTCCTAGCCCAATCACAAACGTTGCCAGCTCATTGTCATGACTACGTGTTGCATTTGACAGCTCTACAGAACGCAGTCCTTCTGTGTCGACTATCAGCACGAAGTCATATCCCAGTTGTTTACTGAACTTTGCATCCACCTTCACTAACTGCATGTAGGCTCCTCGGGTGCATCTCCCACTGCCAACAGGAAACTGGAGACCAAACATGGCATTGAGTAGCGTGGACTTCCCACTGCTCTGTATTCCCAGTATTGAGATAACAAACAGCTTCACGTTCCCAATTGTATCAATGATTCTGTCCAAGATTGAGCTAATCCAAATGAGAGGGACATGTGCAGCATCACCATCCATGAGTTCAAGAGGAAATCCAGAGATCATCATTTCTGCTGCAATCTTGGGCAAAGTAGCCGGGAGTTCGCCACTTGATGGCGGTGTCTGTGAAGCTTCGTAGATCTGACCAACTTCCCGAAAAACGTGATCAATTCCAAAGGAAGAGGCATCAAGTTCTTCTGATATTTTATCCAACTCTGATTGTTTTTTAGCAATGGTACTCGCGTTAGAACCTTGTTTTTTCAACTCTATTATTGCCGTCCAGGCCTGATGATAAGTGAGATGAAGTTGTGATAAGCGATCTGCAGACAAATTATCTAAGTATATGCGTAGCCAATGCAGGAAGTATGTTTTTACTGTGTCTGCCTTCTTGTTCAAAATTTCAATCAATGATCTCATAAATTCGTTAAGAGGAAATGCTTTTTCAAGCTGTGCTTTCCTAATGTGTTTTTTTTCCATTGAAATTTTACTTTTGTATTCCTCAACACTTTCGCCCCCCTTCACATTCATGCGAGTCAATTCTTTGTCTTTTTTGCACCACGACTGCCACAATTTCCCTTGAAGAGGTAAAAATGTCTCTTTTATGGAACACAGCGGCTTGTCACTTATAAGACTCAGCAAATCTTTCGCCAAATCCTTTCCCTCTTTACATTGTTTATCATCTTCATCAACAATGAAGCCATACTGTCTTGCAATAGCTGAAAAATCTTCGATGTAAATTTTTCTTTTTGAATTGTCTAAAAAATAATTGAGTGTTGACGTCAATTCATCAATGAACTCAGCCTCATTTCGATTCTGGACAGCAATTTTCGCGTTTGTTCCAGATACTCCACTGGAAACTCTCATTTTGTCAACACAGAGGCAAATTAGCGGCTTTGGAGAACTCAAACATTCGTCTAACATACGTTTGCCTTCTTCATTGCGATCACCATCTGACAGTAATATCACATTTATAGACGACATCTCATGTAAAAATTTCACCTGTGTTTTGTGTTCTCTTGCATCTCCGTGGAGATTAGTGAATGCTATGCAATCTTTAAATACATCATCGTCCTTCCCACCTGGAAGATACCAGGCGATCTCTGCAACTCCTTTCATTAGTTGACCATTCCTGCTGCTGCCTCGGCAGTGCCTATGAAAGAAAACGCCATGCTTTTGCTTGCCGAGCAGAGAGTTCAGCATCTGAGATTTCGATGCAGGTGATTCACCAAATCTTATGAAGGACACGAGTGCAGTATTCGCATCAATGATTGCACAGTTTTTAGATTGCCATTTTTTGGTAGATGCATCATGGTATTTCCAGCTTTTTTTAATCTGTCTGAATGACCATATAGGGAATTCTATTTCTGAACGACAAGGATTTGGAACTAAAAGCGGAAGTGCGAACTGGATGAATGACAGTTTGGTGTAAATATACTGCCTTACAAAATTGTCTCCACAATGGAATATTGCCATTTGTAAGTCCATAGGGTGAATGTGGGTTTCAGTGTTTGTCCTAGGCCCATCGCTGTTATTTATTACGTCATCATCATTATCATCAGAAAAGAAGTTATCACTATTAGGGCTTTTATTTGTATACGTGGATTGCGATAAGTTGATTAAATTGTCTGTGTTTAGATTTTCACACTGAAAACTAACACATCTTGCTCGATAGTCAATCATTATCAGTTTTTGCAGATAAGAAAGAGCAAGTTCTTGTTCTCTGCATGGATCTGGGTTAGTTTGAATTGGAGACCTGTTGATAACACATACATCACTTGTGTGTAATTTCTTAGGGTAGTATTTGATCAGTGCGAGTCTTTCAAGCAGATTGATTAACTCTTCATCATTTTTTCGTGGTTGAATAGATGGTTTATTTTGTAATTCTTCTTGCCTTGAATAAGTGTCCTCTTTCCCCTCCCCCTTGGAAAAAATTCCTGCATTTTGTATCGTACATTCTTTCTTTGAACTACATGTTTGGTCTTTGAAAGTTCCAGCGATAATGGATTCCAGCATCATATAAATTTTATTCCAGTCAGTTGGCCTTATTTCACTGCATTTTATCACATGGGAAACTTTAGCACAAATTATTGTTTCGACCTGGGATCTCATTAAATCTAATTGTTTTCGCTTTTCGGCAGGAGTCCGTGCATTAGACAAACCTGTCCGTAAAACGTATGCCTGAGCTCTGGATTTGTCTTGTTGCATCAGTCTTGTGTACTCTCCGTAAGCTGACTCTAGTGCACGTTGAAGATGATCAATGTTGTCGTAATTCAGGGGATGCTGAAATCGTTTTTCTTTTACACAGTAGCCAACAGCAGAAGTGACTGAAATGATGAGTAGCTCTTGTTCGATGAGTTTTGATGTTCTCAGTGATTGACAGAATGAATTAAATGCATGTGTGATTTCTTTGTTTCTTTTTTCAAGTATTTTTGAATAAGTTGGTGAAAAGTCAACTTTTAAATCTTCTTTTGCGTTTGTTAAGATGTTCACGAGATATTTGAAGTCAGATAATTGAGTAGGGACTCCTTCATACTCATTAAGCCACTGCATAACGGAGGCGAATTGTGGAAAGCTGTCAACTTCACAGCTGTTTGGCTCCATAATAGACCGCATAAGCTTTGTGATTTTCACCGTTTTGGCAGGTGCTGTAACAAGATTTGAAAAAAATGATTGGAGGGCTGGGTGAGACAAACAGGTGTTTATCCAAGTAAAATTGCTTTTCGTTTCATCATATAACGTCTGTTTCAAATGAAGTATCTTTTCTAAATTATTTTCCATGTCGGATTCTTGCCAATGTTTAATATCTTGCATCACTGACCTGGCTTTAGCATTAGCAGAGACAAATATATCCTCAAGACAAAAATTTAGATTTTGGTTTGTCAAAAGTGTGTATGCCTCCTTGAGCCTGCTAGCTATCAAAGTATTTTGAAAATCATCCTTGTGGTTAAACTTGACAATGTCCCACACTGGAACCAATGATGTGCCTAGATCAATGACAGACCATGTCTTGGTGTTGGATACAATGCCAGTTCTCCATTGTTGAAGAGAACAAATGCCAGGTGATCCACCTATTGTGCCTACGGAAAATGTCACCTTACTAAGAAGTGTAGAATTGTATTTTTCAGAAAATTCCGTTGTAAATTCGGATGCCATCATGCTCACACCACCTGCACTGCCACTGCTGTTGTAGGCTGAAGTGGAATACATTTCCACTGCCTCTGATAGCATAATTCTTTCTTCCTTTTCCTCATCGGAGCTGATGCCCTCTGCTGATGCTTTCCACTTAAATATCCCACCAAAGTGGACAGTGCCTGTATGGGCATGAGAGCCAAAGTTTTCAAAAAAACTTCCTAACCTGCTGCTTAGCACGCGTGTCTTAAAAGACTCGTTGACGTTTTTTAAAGTTTTTTCAATGCTTTGTAATTCCTCCAACGCCTCATCAGAGAGCTTTAGTTGATTAAAGTCAAGATTTCCTGAGGCAAGTGGTAGGTACAGGTATTTGGTGCTATGAATGCAGGTATCCGTGGGATTTTTTTCTTGCTTTTCATCGGTGTGTAATGCCTTGTTGTGCTGCGAGGTGATTTGTTTAATCAAAGTCTGTGGGAAACCTTCTTCTGTCGTTATGGTATTGAATCCCATTATTTCCACTGCTGTCTCAAATATTTTTTCCTCTTCAGATGATGAAAACTCTTGTTTCTTTATCATTGGCTGATGTACTGGGCCAGCAAGATAAAACGACATTGGGATGTTTAAGAGTTTGTCTCTTTTCTTTAACATATCCTTTATTTGACCAGTTAGATATACCCCCTCCAAAGCAAGTCCTTTAGATGCATTTTGTAAAAGACTTAGATGTGAAATAGTCCCACGTAAATTTGAAATGTCTGCTAAATCGAACTGCTTTAGAGAAGTGTTTGCCATATCATTTGAATGGCTGCCATCCCACAATGGGGTTTCTTTTGCTCCTTTCAATTCCATTTGCTGCTCTGTCTCCGACTCTATGTTGGCCTCACCACTGTGAATTAATCTTTTTTGATGGATTTGTTCTGGATGCTGCTTTGTTGATGCATCTTGCTTCTGTTCATTTCCAATTGACTCAGATTCTTGTGATTGTTTTAAAACAACTTCATTGCCCGACATTTCCGCTAACTTACACAATGCCGTTATCTCCCATGAATGCCGGCAATGTGGTTTTATGATTTCAAATTTCTCAGGGCCAAAATTTTGCAAGGCTTGTACATTGGTGATAGCCAACATATCTCGTAGTTTTGGAATCCAAAAAGTTGTATTAAGACCTAAGTCTGTAAGTACTTTGGCAAGCCCATCCTCAGCTTTAATGTTGTGTTCCTCCTCTTCAGACATAGCCTTCAATACACACATAGACCATTCTTAATTAGTAATACAACATTTAACAATAATACGAATCAATTTATAATTCAATTGAATATTAAATGTTGTTTATAATCATAGCATAAAAAAGATATTCAGACAAATAATCAAAGTTCATCACCTATTTTAATGTCAAACATCTGTGAGAAATATAAAATAAATTAATTCCTTATACCTACCATGCTTATCTACGTTTTTCATAATAAAAATTTAATAAACATACAATTTCGATATTTTAAAATTGATTAAGCCGTTGCATGTTGAAATTTGGAATATAACAGTACGAAATTTCAGCCTTCAAAGGGCCCAAATTTCTCAAGGGACTATTGTGAAGTGTTTTAACTTACCATGCTATAACAATCAGCACTTAAGCCATGGCACCATAGCTAATGGATAAATCCTGCCCAGCTCCTGTGCTCAAGCTCCACACGTGGTTCTCATGCCACTTTGGCGAAACTTTTTTCCTCAAAAAACAACTTTCCAATTGAGAACGTTTTTGGCTGTATGTCAGTTCCCAATGCAAATGTTGATAAAACTCGGTTCTTAGCCAATGCTACACCGGCTCATGTATAGAAAAAGTGGTGCGGCTTTTGGAGTTGACAGATGGGGGAATACTATGAGGTCTGGTCTTAGAGATCGTGTGTCTACTGTGCAATTGCAGGATCTGGTAGAGGTTAAAAGTGGTGGTACTAAGGTGTGGTGGTATCAAGAGCTTTGACCGTGATGCCATCTTGATCTGAAAGCCAACGCTCTTTGTGCCAGAGTGAGTTAAGGCCACACACGCACACACTGTGTGCCCCTGCGCGAGAGTAGGGTGGTCTTAGGCACTTCTCAAAGCTACAATCACACTGGGGTCAACCGATCGCATAGGGATAATGTATTGGACATCACATTACATTATCCCAATGTGATATTGTACATTACATTATCCCTATGTGATAATGTAATGTACAGTACATTATCCATTGTAGTGGCTGCTGAAGTGGTGATGGACATTTCTTTTTCGGGGGCTTGTATACATTGATTATCATCACATGACCAACCATGACGGTTATTATGCATGTGCCGTCACTTGTGGTACTGGACTTAAGAGCACGGGCCTTTAGTCCTTGCCTCATGCAGGTGGTGAGCTGATGTTTAGGTTGGTTAATGGCAGCACCAATGGTATCACCATTTTTTATGTAACTTGCTATCTGCGTGCTGGCACATAATGGCATACTCTTCTTTAAATTAAAAAATGTGTACATCTGCTTGTAAGCTCATCATAACTATAGTATCATATTAACAATTATGTTTTGACTGCAGTCTCCCTAATTCTGTATTAAGTGTTTTTTTTCGAATGTGTAATCCACTTTGAAGTTGGGAATAGCAATTATGATAGGCATAACATTCTTTACAACGAAAATAAATATAAATTCATGAATACATAATACGATTACAATTTTGACTTAAAGCTTTTGTGACTGCAGGAATTCATATTATTTGGGTCTTACGGTAAAGTCACGTAGATAGTTCCAAAGAAAATAACAAAAAAATAACTAAAAACTACGACGTTTCGATCGAAACACAAGCGGTCGTCATCAGGAAAAGAGGGGTTAGCTTCTAAAGGCAAACATTTTGTAAAGGTTTTAGATGGGCGTAGCCCAAATGTCAGCAGAAAATGTAAATGTAAGTGGTGGGCAGCGAGTGTGGCTGTGGTGGGTTTTCCACCAATCATTGGTGCTGACATCTACCAAACTAAAGCTATCCATATATTTCGATTTAAAGCTTTCGTGACTGCAGGGATTCATCTTCTTGGTTCTTTCGGTAAAGTCACGTAGAAGGGAAGTAATAAAATAATCAAAAATAAAACATAATAAAATAAAATAATTCTCACGACGTTTCGGCTACAACGCAAGCAGCCGTCTTCAGGTGAAGAATGAGACACTGCCAAGCTAGGAGCTTATATATAAGCTGGGTTGGAGGTGGAAGAGCGCCTTAACAAAAAGAATGTGCATATCAAGAGGAATTTAGCATATTCATGGGAAATGCGTAGGAGGTGGGCGGGGGGGTATTAAAGTCATATTATGCCCATGCATTATGCAGGATCAGCAGCACCAGGGAGGGTGCAGGGAGTAGCATTAACAAAGGAAAGGAATGTTAATAGTATGTAGCTGCAGTTACTAAACAACCACGTAGAAAAACTAAAGTATAAACTACATAAAAACTAAAGTATAAACTGCATAGCACCATCAGTATATTTACTATACTCTACAATAAGCTGAGTTACTAACAGCAAGTAATACATTACAATTCTACGTAAAAATTATATAATATGCTTCCATCTAAACTTTATTCTCTTACATCACACGAGCATACACCGTACTATATACTGTCATAGATAAACCCAACATTAAATTATATACTGTATTGCTATAAACCACCTTATACATTTTAATATAACACTATTATTGTACCCACCCTAATGTGTATCACACTGCAATATGTTTACTATACAATTACGATGCTATATATTACTTTGTACATTGTATTAAGCATATAAATGTTATACTATTTGTTATTATACACTGTACCATTGACCGTCGTGTCAATGGGTGAGTCGTGGGGGAAAAACTTGCAGCGGAGCAAAGAATCCATTCCCTGCGGAGAATACAATGCCAGTGAGTGGAACGCGGTCTGAAAGTCACCGTAAACGTGAACACAATCAGTTAAGTTAATTGAGTCTCACCTTTCTGAAGAGATGCCGCGACACACCTCTTCGTCCCATTGTCTCTACTATCAACTCCCCCACCTATAAATTGGCTCGTTTTTTGTCTGAAATCCTACGGCCTTTCACTGGAAAAACCACCTCTGCGGTACTAAACTCTACTGACCTGGTATCGACAATCAAGGGGATTGCCCTGTCCCCAGACGACCTGCTTGTCAGTTTTGATGTGGTTTCCTTATTCACCAAGGTTCCTGTACCTGACACCATCGCAATCATTGAAGACTTGGTTCATCAAGGACTGAATGCTGGGGTACCACCCCTGGTGAGACACTGCTTGACCAATACATACTTCACCTGGAATGGAACTTTCTACAAGCAAACTGAGGGCACCCCAATGGGCTCCCCCCTATCTCCGGTTGTAGCCAACATCTTCATGGAGAAATTTGAGACTGACGCCATCCAGACTGCCACTCTACGCCCGACACTTTTGTCATCTGGCCACATGGCCGGCCTGCTCTAGACCAATTTCTCGACCACATCAATTCCATACACCCAGCCATCAGATTCACCATGGAAGTCGAAAAAGATGGCAAGCTACCCTTTTTGGATGTCCTAATTAAAAGGAGACCTGATGGTTCAATGAGCCACTCTGTCTACAGGAAAGCCACCCATACGGATGCTTACCTAAAACCGGATTCCCACCACCATCCATCCCAGAAGAATTCCCTCATCAAGACTCTATACCATAGAGCCCAATGCATCTCCGACCAGGAACACATTGCCAGTGAACTCAAACACGTACGCCAAGCTCTTAAGGCTAATGGTTACTCCGACTACACAATCCGCAAAGCCATCACTCCAACCATCAAGAAGGATCCTGTTGAGGAGCCTTTCAAGACCATCACCTTACCCTACATTGCTGGGGTCACAAAAAAGATCTCCAAAATCCTGATTAAACACAAGATCCAGGTCCGATTCAACACAGTACATAAAATCCGTGATCTGGTCCCGTCTGTAAAAGATGTGGTTCTAGACAAACAGTACCCTGGCGTCTACAAACTAAGTTGCCTCTGTGGTAGCAGTTACATTGGGGAAACCAAACGACATGTCTCGGACCGCATCCGTGAACATAAAGCAAACCTGAAACACGGTAGGACAAACACCTCAGCCGTGGCAGATCACTGTTACAACTCAGTGGGCTCACATGACATTGACTTCTCCAAGACAGAGGTTCTCTGCAAGCTATCTGGCTATCATGAGAGATTCGTTCATGAGGCGATCCACATATACAAACACAGAGACAATTTCAACCGAGAAGATGGATTCTGGCTTAGCAATCATTGGAAGGACGTAATTAACCATTTTGGATCTTAACTGATTGTGTTCACGTTTACGGTGACTTTCAGACTGCGTTCCACTCACTGGCATTGTATTCTCCGCAGGGAATGGATTCTTTGCTCCGCTGCAAGTTTTCCCCCCACGACTCACCCATTGACACGACGGTCAATGGTACAGTGTATAATAACAAATAGTATAGCATTTTAATGCTTAATACAATGTACAAAGTAATATATAGTATCGTAATTGTATAGTAAACATATAGCAGTGTGATACACATTAGGGTGGGTAGAATAATACATAGTGTTATATTAAAATGTATAAGGTATAGGGTTGTTTATAGCAATACAGTATATAATTTAAAGTTGGGTTTATCTATGGCAGTATATAGTACGGTGTATGCTCGTGTGATGTAAGAGAATAAAGTTTAGATGGAAGCATATTATATAATTTTTACGTAGAATTGTAATGTATTACTTTCTGTTAGTAACTCAGCTTATTGTAGAGTATAGTAAATATACTGATGGTGCTATGCAGTTTATACTTTAGTTTTTATGTAGTTTATACTTTCGTTTTTCTACGTGGTTGTTTAGTAACTGCAGCTACATACTATTAACATTCCTTTCCTTTGTTAATGCAACTCCCTGCACCCTCCCTTGGTGCTGCTGATCCTGCATAATGCATGGGCATAATATGACTTTGAAACCCCCCCGCCCACCTCCTACGCATTTTCCATGAATATGCTAAATTCCTCTTGATATGCACTTTTTTTTTGTTAAGGCGCTCTTCCACCTCCAACCCAGCTTATATATAAGCTCCTAGCTTGGCAGTGTCTCATTCTTCACCTGAAGACGGCTGCTTGCGTTGTAGCCGAAACGTCGTGAGAATTATTTTATTTTATTATGTTTTATTTTTATTATTTTATTACTTC